CACTTCCATTGTTACTTAACACTTCCATTGTTGATGGAAGTGTTAAGCCTTAATCCTGTCCATCTCCCCCGTGGGGAGGAATTTCGAAAAATCCCTTCTTAGTGTGCATTTTCGTGACGTACCCTAACTGTGTACCAAATTTCAGCTTTCAACTCCTAACCGTTTGGGCTCGTATCCATAATGTATATAGAAGTTTTAATCCTGTCTCTCTCCCCCCGGGGGGAAATTTCGAAAAATCCCTTCTTAGTGTGCGTTTTCGTGACGTACCCTATTTGTGTACCAAATTTCAACTTTCAACTCCTAACCGTTTGGGCTCTGCGCTTATTATTATTATTATCATCAACCCATCTCGATTATATATTAGATAAAGAGCGAGTAAACATTTAATTATATAACCTATTATGATGTAAATTCATTTGTAAACTTCTGAAATAAAATTAAAAATACTTAAAAACATATTAAAGTTTTGGTCCGTATGTCATTTGTGAAAATTAATGCCCTATTAATTTAAAATGCTTTTTATAAATAATTAAATTAACATGTTATTTTATTTTTCAAATCCAAGAATCATCGCATTTAACTTCACGAGAGTGTCTCGATATATCGTCATTCGAAGACGAATAAATAGGATATTTTGTGTTTTAGTCAAATTTGAATTCCATTTTTTAAAGAACATTATTTATTTGTTTAATTAAATACAATAAAGTTTATTTACAAAAAAATGTTTGATTATTTATTTCAATTTAGTGGTACACAATGTTGTCTCGTACTTGAAATTTAGGCCTAATTCATTCCAGGAGGCCGTTCGAACTTCGAATCGTTCGAAATCCGAAGCAATTTTTCCCATTAGAAATGTGGGGGACGAAAAGATATTTCAAAACGAAATAACATTATATGGGATATATATCGTTATCGTCTCCATTGCCGTCTGGACTGCCGAGCGGTACAATCAACGACGTGTGGGAGCGGTTGAGTCAGAGATCGATGCCTCGTTTATAAACAACACAACCCGTTTATTAAACAATTAACTTACAATGAAAGTCAATGGTGAAGTCCTTGTAGATTTCGGCGCGTAGTCTTCAAAAGAAGAAGAGGAAAGTCAAGCGACGAATGCAGATTGGAAACGATGTCCGACGAATGCAGATTGGAATGTCCGAAGTTTCTCTCAACGAAGGTCTATAACTTTCGAAGGATTCATCAGCAAAGGATGAAGATGGAACCTTGCGGGAAACACCCCAGCGAGGGACATAGCCCGGTGGGACGCCACGTCAAAGAACGAAGTGTCCTTATGGACTGAGCTTAAATATCTTTTGGTCTCGCAAATCGTCACTTTATTGGTTATTAATCCCTTTCTCGGTCCCCGATTGGTCTTTCTTTGTTACCAGGTGAAATTGGATCAGATCGGTTCTCGAGAAAGACGATTGTTTATTAATATAGGGAAAAGGTGGTATTATGGAACCCTGCAGATATTATGGAACTCCTCCATTTAAAACTGATAATAAAAGCGAACTGTAGCGGATTGTGGCTGAACTGCACTAGGCAGACATCCATAGCAAGGGGAAAACCCGTTTCACTTCAGATAAAAGGTTGTCCTTAGTGAATTAGCATACAGTATTTGTGTTTTTCGAAATTCAAAAGTTTTGAATGCTAAGTGAATTTAATTATTTTTAAAATATAAATCGTGTAGTTGTGAGTTCACTGGTGCATGTATTCCGTTCCAGAGACTTAGGGGTACATGTTAATCTGTGTGATGTTCACGTTTTTTAAAATTTGGTCTTGACAGACATAAGTTAATTCAAGATGGCGATGCGTGAAATACGGATCCCATTGGTGCTTTTAATATGGAACCCGTCTAACTTTTGTAAAAGTATGTGGTAGATGAATGAAAAAATAGAAGGAAAATGAAAAAAGTAAAAATAGTTATTTAACACTATAGGAGCATTATATTTGTGATTATTGTAAATGATTAGCTTCTTTGTACATTTCTGTATTATTATTATTATTAAATCATTTTTGCGTTAAAATGCATTGGAGTAAATAATTTTGTAATTATTTAACATTCTTTGTATTTTCCTATTTGTTTTTGGATAGCATTTTTTGAAAACATACATTAAGGTTCCATATTACCACCATGTTTTCCCTAAACCTACTTTCTGACTTTTTGTACAGAAGCCTTCAAAAACCATACTTATAGTTACACTAGCGAAAAATCCAATTAGTAACATTTAGTTTAATAGCAACCAGTACGTTACGTACAAAAAATGTGGGTGTAGTTATGATACCTTGTTTACAATTCACTATAATGAAAATGGGGTTCCATAATACCACCTTCTCCTCTACGATTGGACAGTCTTTCGTTCGATGTTGAACGAACCTTGTACATTTACCTTAACTAACATTTTCTTTTTTTGTTCGTCTTGTCTTATAAAGAATTAAATTTACTAATTTTTCTCATAAATTTACTAATTCAAATATCATAGTTTCTTAAATCTGATAAATTTCAGTTTATTGCATTTATTTTATTATATAATTTCTAAATTCATTATGTATGCAGCTATGTGGTCATATATTCGTTTAGAGCAGTTAAAGCTTTCAAAGAATTGTTTCTGTAGTCATAATAGTTCCTCTGGATTAAGTTAAACAGATTATAAAATTTCATTTGCATATAGTTTTATTCAAGGATGTTGTTGAAGTCTTTTTTTTAAAAAATAGTTTCGGAATTTGCACTGATTATACTGATTATAAAAGGTTGAAGAAGTATGAAGTTCAAAGTATATATGTAGACTATATTTCATTTTTGACTCTTTTTGCTCGGTAGACACTAACTTATAAGAGAGCCTTTTTAATCATACCCATGATGGGTTCGGCCAAGCCTACAGTGGGGCGGCTGGGTGGCAAAGTACTGTACGGGACTCCACATATCCGAGACAGCATTAATGAAATAAGGCAACGCTACACTCGGACGGTCTGCCGAAAGGCGTATATTCCATAGAGCTAGCATAGCCCTGTTTATCTGGCCCCTGTTATGTTATACACACAAAGAAAACTCGGAAAAGTCCACGTGGAAAGTTCGTTGATCCCACGAACCCACGTCCAACTAGCAGTGTTCAGCAGTGGTTTTATCCACTCGCTGCTGATGAGCTCATATTCAGACAAACCACTCCCGAAAAATACTTGGGGTTTTTACGAGTGTCCCAAAGTGATAAGCTGACGCCTTAACAGCCTCGGCCATCAATTCATCCCATTCCTGGCGTTACTCGCTCGGATTCGACCTCGAGATCCCCGGATGCCCCGATCTGCCTGGGGCACCCGCCCGTCCTTGCAGAATATGTGTTAAATACAGATCAAACAGGTAAACTTTGCAAATCCATATTATTATTATTATCATCATCACCATCCATTTTTAACCTATCAAAAGATGTTGACGTTTATTAAAAAAAAAAAAAAAGTTATTACAATGGACATGTTATTAATATATTAAGGCGTTCGTTTGCTAATTTATTTGTTTGCTTAAAATATATTGAAATTAAAATAAAACAAAAATAAAAAATTATTGAAAGAGAAATGCTTTCATAATTGAAAATACTGAAAACTAAATCAGCATCGATCGGTAGATGGCGTTAAGCGATTATTCACGTGGTTTCCACATGTTTCCTCCCAAATTTCGTTTGGAAAATGTGTTCGAGTTGCACGTTTTAAATTTATTATCAATAATGAATACGTTAGAATTGTACTGTATCAACACTGAATATGTTACAATTAGATAAGATAAGGTATTCTTAATGTCGATATTGATTAATTAAAACGATTCCAAAGTTAAGAAGTAAATTTAGATAACTTCAGATGTAGGAAACTGTAGATCTATTTTAAATTGCATGTATTAAGTAGAAAAATTTGTTAATTTTAAGTATAAAAAAATGCTATCTGATCTCCAGTTTGCTTCTCGAAGAAGTCCAGTTTTGGCAACTCGAGCCTGCGTGTCCACTGATGTTCCTATTGTTTCCAAAATTGGGATTGGTAAAGTAGCTAGTAGCTTTAACACTTGTATAATTAGTCAATTTAAATATTTTGATTATAAACAATTTTTTTTTTTTAAATGTTATGATCGTAAAACTAATTTGTAGAAATATAATAAATCAATTAGAAGTTATATGATTGAATTTATTAATTATTTTTAAATAGATATTCTACAAGCTGGAGGAAATGCGGCTGATTCGGCCATTGCCATGGCAGCAGCTACGGCTGTTGTCGAACCAAATTTTACTGGATTGGGTGGAGATTGCTTTGCTTTATTTTACAGATCTTCAGATAAAAAAGTTTTGGGAATAAATGGAAAGTGAGTTTTATAAAATAATTTTTAAAAAGAAGATTTAAAAATACCAAATTTAATTTACATTACAGAAAATTAAAAATCATTTAAGTGCTTTTGAGAACTTAATGACTCGTTCCTGGATTCTGTTGTTCCGAAATGTTCTGTTATTGTGAAACCACAAATCGTCATTACGGTTATGATGACATCATTATTATATCAGGTAGAATAACTCATTAAGTAAAGAATAGATAAATAAATACTGGATATACCAGAAACATCTGACTGTTTTTAAAATAAAATAACACTTCAGGGGAAAGCATAAATATTTATTGCTTTACATATTTTTTAATGGGTGAAATGCATATAACTATTATTTTTTAAAAGTAACATTTTGTAAATGGTCGCTATGTCCTGTGATTTAAAATTTAAAAACTTTCAGGTATTTCATCTCACCCTGTACAATAAATAGATTTGAAAATATACATTAATTTGTACTTCCATAGCAACAGAAATTTCATTGTGCTCCTGATGATAAATTAAGTTTGAAAGTACTCGAATGATTTTTAATTTTTTTTTTTTTAGATATGCCATTAAAAGCAGTATTTTTATTTTCCTGCCTGTTATAGAATATAACAGAAGGAAAGAATAATGATCAGTCAAAGTTTGATTTCCAGTTTTTTTGCATTTCTTGATATTTTGATACCAAGAAACTCAAAAATGTAAAAAAAAATCCTTACAAAATTCTCCATGTATGTGTCGGCATCTATTATATTTTGCATTATATCTCAGGACTGGATGAATAAAAAATTTTAAACTTGTTAGGGTTACTTTTTATATATGGAGTACTGATACTATTAAATTTGATGGTTAATAGTTAAAGGGATGGGAGATAGTGGGAAGGGCTCACATGTCATATTTTGAATGGTGTCAGATTTATTGAAAATTTTATTCTCGGCATTTACAATTTTTTTGAAACTCATCTCTATGCTAAAAATTAAGCATTTTGCCTTTTTATAATAATTAATAACAAAAATTATTTTTTAATAAAATCTCATAGCCGATCACTGGTGCTCCACACAATTTTAATTTTTAGTAATGTGTCTTAGTGTTTTTTAAACTTAAATATTCTTAAATTAAATACAGTAGAGCATAGATTATCTGAAACAATTCAGGAGTGGGGTTGTTTGGATAACTGATTTTTCAGGTAACTGATCTTTATGAAAAAATATATTAAACACAAAACTGTACTGTATATAATTTGTATCACATGTCTTATAAATACAGACCTTATGTGAAGTAGTACATTAAAGTAGACCTACAGTTTAGGTTGGCTGGGAGGGGGAGAGTGTTGCAGCATCACAGCACTAGCAGAAATTTNAGGCTATATATATGTAGGCATAACGTTGAAGGTAAAATATGTACTAATGTACTGTACGTATAGTCTACGTATATATTTTATTAAGTACTAAAACTTTAGTATAAAAAAAGTAATTATATAATTCTCTTTAACTATGAAATAATAATTACTATTTCATATTTACGCAAGTTAATTTTTTTTTTAATTAAGTATAAAAATTTGCTTTTATTATCTTTTTATTCTTATAGTTTTATTAAAATTTAGTGTTGATATGTTAATATAATAATTTTCGTGTGTTTGTAATTTTTCATTTTTGCAATTTTTTTCCTCGTGTAAAGTTTTTAAAAATGCCCCGTGCAAAATGCATATTTTACAAAACATGTTTGGAAGTTAGTTTCCATATTAACAATGTATGGAGGGCATCATCAAGATTCGCATCGTGTCAAACTCGCACTCTGTTGGCAGTGCAATCTGATCGCATGCTCACTTTTCAAGTTTTTACAACTTGTCATTTTTGCTAAAAATTAGTATAAATTCTGCAGGAAAACAATCCATTTACACTGTACATCTGTTTTTTTTTTTATATTTTCTACGAGCAATGTTTTACAAATTTGGTTCATACAACTGTTTATCGTTAATGTATCTTTTGTTAACCAGCCAACGCTTTAGATTGTAATGTCATTAATTAAAAAGAATTGAGCCCTGTAAAACTTTTTTTTTTAAGTAGCAAAAAACATAATACTAAAATTTGCTATCCGTAAGGTATTGTATGCTATAAATCTTTTAATTCCTAGATCTCTATTAACTCCCGAATTGTATAACAATCGAAGCTATTCCCGGACTTAATAGAGACTTTTCACCTTTCACCAGCTATTGGGAAGTAGTTAATCCAAGCATCTACGCTCCTTGTAACGAACGTCCTTTGTTACTGGCACTACTGGAAGTGTATTAATTAAATAAAAGGTTAGACTCACTAGTAGCGTGGCAATCGATTTATTATCGCAGTGAATAAAATACAACTAAAGCCAGATGATGGTTAGATACCTGTCTAAACCGAAACTACTGTAACGTAATGCTCGAATACTATCGATAGTGTTATCAATACTATCGAGATTTTAAAAATATAATCAATATTGATAGTCCAATTTTCTATCGTACTTTTTACATGAAACTAATATTTATTTTTTATCATCATATTTTAAAATTAGTTTAAAATATTTTTAATACCTTTGAGTAAAGCGCCATTTATTCATTCTAAGTTTAACCATTAACCGCATTGTTCGTAGTACTGTTAAGGAAAACAATATTTCTGTTATCTTTAATTGTAGAATGCCCATTAGAAAAAAAAATCTAATATTTTGGAAGTATTTCCAAATTGATGAGAAAGGAAAACAACTTGTGAAATGTATTTTTATGTAAAAAAAATGTACAAAACATCAGGAAACATCAAATTTAAGGAAATTACAATCGACCCCCCATAACATTGTTGATAATTCCGTTTTATATGAATTCCATGTTGTACGAGTCACTTAGATTTTACAAATACTGTGAACGGCTCACGTATTTGTAAAATCTAAGTGACTCGTACAACATGGAATTCATATAAAACGGAATTATCAACA